AGGAGCGGTTTAACGGAAGGCCTGTTGTAGGCCGTTCCAGGCGGGTTGAGGTCGTTGGAATCTGTCCAGCAGGGGAGTAGAGTGCTCCTGGACGGAACGAAGGGTCTGGGCAAGGTTTGCGGCGCGCTGCTTCAGCGTCGCGATGTTGGCGATGGAAGTCGTTTCGCGTTCCCGATATGGCTGTTGTCTGGCTGCCATGGGGTGCTGGACGAGGGCATGTCTGCAATCCGTTCGCTGCATTACTGTCCCACCAGTGCCTGTACCCTCTTGGGTGGAAGGGCGGTCGCCAGTCCCCATACCCTGGTGGGAGGGGTCAACGACCTGGTGGCTATGCGGGAGAGACACGCAAGCAAGGCCCTGGTGAACTATTGCCTTTGGGCACCGTTGCGGAGTGTATTTAGTGACGCCGCTCTGTGCTTTCGTCGTCGGCGTCGTGACCGTCGCTATCGTGACCGTCGCTATCGTGACCTCCTGATGGAGTTGCAGTGGTTTCCTCATGGTTGTCCATGGCGGCACCTAACCCCAGTGGGTCCTCGTCTTCTCGTTCGAAGTCGTCGGTTGGTCCTCCCCATGGGCCGTCGAGATCGTCGAAGAAGTCTGGGCCTTGCGGTTTCGAGGGGTCGCCAGGTGAGCCTGGCGGCTCGTCACTTCCTTGCCCTATGGTGAGCGGGCTGGGCTTCAAATCTTGGTGAGTTCACCGGTCACCCTTAGAGTAACCCTTACGTACGTCTGGCAAGGGCAACGCGTTGTGGCGGCGGCCATAGATCGCGACAGCAGTGCTGTGGACAACGGCCGCGAATGTGCGTGGCTCTGTCGATGACATCTTGCTGTAGGGTGTGTAGACGTGTTCTGGCAGCGGCGGGGGTTGGAAGCCTCAGCGATCGGCGTGCTTCGACATTCATTTGAGCTTGCTTCCAAGACGGCTTTCGACTGTCTTGGCCTTGAACGCGCCAGGTTTGGGTTGCAGCGCCCCACGGATCTCGTGCCGGAGATCGGCCAGGCCTGCAGCGGCTTGCGGTGGCTCTCCTTCGAGGAAGGCTTCAACTCCGATGGCGACGGCTCGGCTGCCCACGAACAGCGTGGACAGACCGCTCCGGAGGAGCCGCCGGGTGGAGCAGGCGCGAGGCTCCCGGCGCGCGGCGCGCGGATCCTGGGCCGAGCCGTGCGCCCGAGCCGAGCCCTTCCGCCGCGGATGCGGCCCGCAGCAGCTGCCGAAGCCGGCCCGGGCACGGAGGCGGGCGGGCCCGGGGCGCGCAGGCCCCGCCCGTGGCCGCACGGACCCGCCCGAGGCCCCCGCGTCGCCGTCGGCGTGTGCCTCCTGCAGCAGATCCGCTCCGGAGCCCTCCCCAGACCCCCTCGCGTCGTGGAAGAAGCACGCCGGGAGGTTTTTCGCTACTTTCGGCTTCTTAGGGGGCCCTCACCGGGCCTCGGGACCGTCAAAACACGATTCAGGATGAAGAGCCGGTCCCGGGGAAGGGGTCGAGACCTCTGGGGGTCGACGGCATGAAAAAATCATGACGTCGGGGGTCTGGGTCGGGAGAGGGGCGCGGAAAGGGGCTGTGGGAGCGCGTCGCGTGCGAAGGCTGCCCGGAGGCCCAGCAGCAGCGGGCCTCTCTCCGAGCGGCCGGCCATGCCTCGTGCGGGGCGGGAGGCCTCTCCTCCGCTGCCGGTTCGCGATCCTGGTTTTCAGGGGGGTGCGTTCCCCCTCCCAGCAAGGGCATTTTCAGACCGTGTGCTCCTGGGCTTCTTCTTCTCTGTTAGACCAGCTGCGCAGCGGTGAGGGGTCGGCCGAGATGCCCGCGCGGACGTTCCACCGCTGGGCGTGGTCGCCGCCGCGGAGGTGGTTGTAGAGAGAGCCGAGCTGCCAGGCATTGGCTCTGCCTTTGCTCTCTGTGGCCCGGCGTTTGCAAAGTAACGTCGAGGACTTGCGTGACCGCGGCGACCGTGCCCTGGTCGTGTCGGGTGCTGGGGACGTGTCGGGGGAAAGGTCCTGGCGACGCTCGGAGCATGTGACTGAGCAAGCCGACCAGAAGATGCAACCATGAAGTGCGGGTGGGTGCCCCAGTCGTCATGCACCATGCCAAAGGATGGCCATGTCACATATGCCCATTCCAGTTGGGCAAGGGTGTGCCAGACTTTGCCCATAGGGCCACCTCCTCGGAGGGTCTGCGCGTGGTCGCGCAGCTCTTCGGCTTCAGCGTTGAGACTGGCATCCCTCCGCGCCCGTCCCCGCAGTCCAGGGCCTCCCCTTGCGCAGCTGTGCCCAGCTCTCGGGCATGCCCAGGGACAACAATCAGAGACCCGAATCATCAGGGGTAATTCGGGCCAGGGCTAACTCGGGTTCGTTTTTCGGGAATCCGGACCCGAGTTGCCCCCGGGCCCGAGTTACCCCGGAGAACTCGGGCGTGCAGAGCCCCGAATCATCAGGGATAGTTCGGGTCAGGGCCAACTCGGGTTCGTTGTTCGGGAATCCGAACCCGAGTTGCCCCGGGCCCGAGTT